GAGTTTATTTTTAAGTCCCTTTGCATGCAGCAGCTGTGAGCACGCCACACAGGACAAGATGTGACAAACATGGGCGTTTACAAGGCACGCAGACAGGAGCGGGAGACGTCGGTGTCACTATTGAACCCACCTGCTCCCTGACAAACAAAGCAGAAGAGGAAGAGCGTGGGCCGACAGTGGCAAACGAGTCTCAGATCCCAGACACGACATGCTTCTGAGCGCGCACACACGTCAGCCCTGACGCAAGGTTGCAACAGCTTCAAATGGTCTTCGTGTTCGGGGGATTAAAGCAGGTGTAGGAAACTTTTGTGTCTCTTTGTTAAACAAATCAATAGCTTAGAATGGAGGGATTTCAAAGATAAAACACTGCTAAAACAATATCATTTGTCTCTGTCCCACTAAGCACAAACACAAGTCAGGAAGACACACGCCGAGCGGCAGGGGCTGGTGTATAACGGTTTGGTATTTAACCCGCCTCACGACCTAGTCTTTTTGCGGAGGCGACTTCAGTGGGAGCACTATGGCTAAATCCAAGTGAAAAAGTGTATTTATTTACTGTTGTTCAACTTACAATGTGAAATTAATCTATTACACATTATGCGCAAAGTGAGATATATCAATCCTTATTTGTATATTGTCGATAATTGGCTCACAGATTTATAAAAACCCCAAATAAAACATCTCAAAAATAATCATAATCATCGAAGGTATAACAAACAAAGGCTTGGCATATGTCACTTTGCATGAAATTAGTCTATATTAAAGATTCAGTAAGCGATTTTGATAGCTTAGCCGTAGCACCAACTCGAAGCCACTCCCCCCTCCCCTCGCCTCTTCACCAAACCAAACATCCAGCATTTTCTTATCTTTATCACAACAGGGAGAGTGGGTGGCAAACGTGAAATTGGCATTTTCTGTTCAGCCATTTTAGGTTTTAGAAAATCAGATTACTCAGGTGCGCGCAGTCGTGAGAAACAGGAAGAGGGTGAAGGGGGTAAACGCATCCCATTGGTTTATTTTTATCGGCCCGCTCCAAAATATTATTTATACATTTTTGGAGACTATAGGCATCTGGTCAATTCCATTACCACTGTATTTGTCAACACACATGATAACTTGACTACTTTTAGGCTTTAGGGACGTTTTCCCACAAAATAAAATAAAAATGCGTCTGGAAAAAATCACTGCCTGTATCTTTAAGTTGCATTACAGAAATTAACTTCTTTCAGTTTCACCTGTATAGCGGTAATTTAATCAGTAAGCAATGTTTACAGTTGATGTTTTTTGTCATTGTTATACAGTACGTGGGCATGTATTTCCAAATCTGTGTAGTGTGATTAGTATTCATGATTAGCCATTGAAGAAGCGGTACAGATTCTTTACCCTCTTATAAAAGTCCAAACCAGAAGTTTTAAAACATCTTGATTTGTGACTTTATATTTACGCAGAGGCAAAAAAAAAAAAAAAAACTGTTCAACATAATATAGATTTTTGACACAAGCTATAATAATACATTTATAATATAATACAAAGAATAAGGTTTTCCTTTGGACCGCTCCGAACATCCATCACACACAAACAATTTATGCACGAGTGGTGTACACCTATAAATAATCCATACTCCACCCGCTCAGTCTTTCATTCATGACGGCCTCACAAAATCATTCTTTTCTATACTAATATTTGCCATTAATCCGGGATTTACGAGCTCATATGTGCGGCTAAAGGCCCTGTCTCCCACTCTGCGGAGAGCACGTGAACAAAACCCTTTTAATGCTGTTGACATAATCTCCTTTTTCACTATCACAAAGAATTTGAGAGTTAATGCAAATGAGAAGCTTTAGACTGAATTATGACGTAAAGTGTGCAGCGCCCAAAAGCAGTTCTGCAGGGAAATAATTACACCTGCTTCAAGATCTTACTTCAATTACACACGTCTCCTTTAATGCATGAAGCCACAAGTAGAGCTTTTCTAAAATTAGCCGTCATTACTGCAAGAATGATGAGCATGTTTCAAGTCATTTATAGATTTTGTATTGATGGCATATAATGGCAAATGACACACCAGCTGACGGAGTTGTTGCTACTATTTTAAATCCAACTGTGGAGCGACTGCGTTTGATCCTGTCCTGGAATCAACCTGGGTTTAGTTGGAATGCAGCCGAGTTGAATTAACTATGAGATTATAGTCTACATATTGATCTAATAATGGGGTTTTTACAGCTACTGCTTGTTATAATTTACAACAAATTGATTTGACAAAAGAAAAGGTTAAAATGAGTCAAATTTTTGCAGTCAGTCATTTTATTATTGTCATATTGATTATATAATGCAGAAATTATAGAGTCTAATTAGAAATGACAGGCTAGGAAGAGTCAGGAGATGAAAATGCCCGTATGAATAGGCTTTAGAGGAGGGATTCCCAGTACTCCCCCAAAGGTCTACACAACAAGGAAATCATACAAATATTTACTTACTAACTAAATCATTCAGAGTTAGATGTGTTGTGATTTTTGGGTTAAATCAAAAAGAAAACGGAGTAGGAATTGATCTTGGGAGAGAGACTTCAGAAACCACTGAAAGAATTACCAAACTCAAAGGCAATTGTTGATAATGTGAGATATACAGTAGCATTACACATTTGATGTAATATTAAAACAAACAGCAAACATCACAGATAAACTATTATTTGGAGAAGTTTAACATCTTAAACAAACAAAATGACCGGTCTGTTGAAGCTTCTGCCACTTTCTAGTCTCCATAACATTTTTTATCTTGGTCTGGTTCATTTCACAGCACAGCATTAAACATACTTGTACGTATTTATTTGCAGGTATCTGGCCTTCATGCTACAAACGGGATCTGCTCTGTACTGATTCTAGCCAGTGCTGTCAACTTGAGGTAAACATTTGTATTCCTGAGAAGAATGCAAAAAGCTATGGCGATGTGTCGTGAAAAATCTCAACCCTTCAGTCATTAAACGTCAGTCTTGTGACACGGCGTATGAAATGTGACCATAGAATGTATATATAGTACTTTACTCCTTCTACAGTATGTTGTGACAGAGGCTTGTTGGCCGTATCGATGACTGTGAACAGGTGGCAGAGCTCAGGGATGATGCTCCTCTCCTGTCGCTCCTGCCGCTCCTGTCACTGGCTTTAAAGATGTGAGCGCCCCGTACACCCACACGGACCACGACAGCTTTCTGATTTAGAGGCCTCGGGAAAAAAAGGGGAAGTGAATATTTTATTGAAAGCCTGCCGCGGCTCCCTGTTGGGTAATGTGACAGGAAGCAGAGCTCTACTTTTAATACAGCATAGATTTCACGTCAAAGACACGATCAGAGAGCATGGGAGGTGGAAGAGCGTGTTTATATTTTTATCATGTGACCAATATATTGTTGTGTGTGTGTTTGTGTCTGTGTGTTCATGGTTCAACTCCAATAGTATTTAGATTCCTATGAATGCATTTTTTAAGTCAAAAAATCTTGTCACTATTTCTTCAATCAGTAATGCTATACAATAAACATTTGTAATTGAGCAGGCAAGTGTCATTAGTGCTGGAAATTATGAATACAAAATGTGCCATTCTTTGCTTATTGTCAATGCTTCTGGGGGCATAATTGACCTACATTTATTATCCCAACGTTAACCTTATCAACACTTGCCAGATGTTCCCTATTTTAGCCATATCCTTGCTTCAAACAGTGCAATTGATCTAATTAGAGGCACCTCCATAATGAGGAGCTGTTTGTCATGAATAAGGGAGACTGGTCCATAATATGAGAGATAGCCACCCACCTGCCCCCATTAGCAGGTCATACACTTGTATTTAATTACAAAAAATGGGCATCAAGCCAAGGAGACTGTCAAATTTAGAAAGACTTTGCTGGGAACTCAGTGGCTTTTTGGCAATCAGACACAACATGGACTAACCACTGACTATGTTTTCTTGTCGTTTTTTAAAAGTATTGTTGCTTGTTGATCTTTTGAGCTAAATTGACTTTTGTAATTAACTGGCCTTTTCTGTCTATGTCTTTTTTGTCAATCTCTTTTTGTTGTATGTTTGTGCCTGTTATGTGCTGTTTATTATGGTTTCCACCCAATGGGACTATGGGTGAAAACTTGGTTAAATTGACCGGTTACTGCCCGTTGAATTGAATCTTATTTAAAAGCAATGCACAAACACCTGTTTGAATGCACGCGATTTAAAGTTAGAAAATAATATGGCCTTTTAAAACGCAATGCAGAAACTGTACTGCACATACTAAGTTTCCAAACACATACTGCGAGTTACAGCCTAATTAACCTTCATTATTTAACAGTCCAAATTATGCAAAATGTGCAGATCCCTGGTTAAGAGCACTGCTGTGAACTAAAGTAGCCTTAAACAAGCCGCATTCCCTTTTTTTTTCCCATAATGACCTAATTAAGATAGATTCTTTATTGATCCTGTATAGGAGAGAGTCAAGTGTCCAGTAGCAGCAAAAACAAATCCATTCACCCAAACAAAACAAATAAATTGATCATTCTAAAAAGCTAACAATAGTATTAGAAACAGCACTAATTAGAAATGTGATGATAACTTTCAGAGGGACATCAAGCATGAAATACAAACGGATTATCTTTATCATCCACACAATACAGAAAACATCTTCCCCATCACAGCACATTTTCACACACATCCCCTTGGGCTGGTGTTTTTGTGCTGCCTTCACACGATACACCTACAGTAGTAACAAATAAAAATCCTCCCACAACGCCATAAATTCTTCCCTGTGTGAGTGATGCTTTCGGTCGCTATGGAGACCTAATAGAAAAGACCGTCCCTCCTCCTCCTCCTCCTCCTCCTCCCCCTCCTCCTCCCACTGTGGGCCGCTCTTTCTCTCTCTCCACCGCGCGCTCGGGTCGCTCTCTGTGCCGCGTCCATCCACGCCACACTCTCCAGCTTTACTTTGCGCATGCACGGCCAGTCACAGCGAGCATTGCATCGACTCCAAGATGGCGATAACACGACTGGCTTGCCTCTTGACTCTCCTCACAACTCACTGTAAGTACACACAGCGCTGTCGGGAATGCCTGACAAACTATAGCGCAATCGCTTTGGTTTGATTCGAGCGGACTTCTGCGCGTCTTGGATGAGATCTGAGCGCGTTCTAGGAGAAGCGACGCCTGAGTGAAGTGTGTTGGAAAGTAACGGTGAAGTCAAAAGTGGACTACACTAAACATCCAGAAATATTGTTGTGTGTTTTGAACAGACGAAGGATGTAGCGCTGTTGAAAAGTTGTGCGCTTTTTTGTTTTGGGACATTTCATTTCTTTGCTTTATCGCGAATGGCTTTTGTCTTATCTTGAGTGATTCAACGCCATTATTTCAGCTGCTGATGTTAAATTAGCCTATGTAATAAGCCTAAATGTTGAATCGAATTTGAGTTGTTTTAATCCACGCGTATATAACAGTAAAAGAAACGCTCGCTACAGAAAGTGTGGATCAGGGACCACGTTCTGTCCTTGCAAAACTTCCCAACCCCATTCCCAACTTTTCCGCTACTCCACAGGCGCTTGGGTGAATTAAAAATGAAGCAGAGCAGGCTACTTTGTGGCTGCTCTTGAGTTAACTATTTAACGCGAAACGGCGGTGGATGTTGGATGTAGTGATGCGAGATAACGGTTTACCCGCAGCGGAATACGCGACATGGGACTGACCCGCGGGAGGAGCCATGGCATGCACTGTCCTCTCCGCTCAGCCAGCCCCCTCCCAGAGCGCGCTCCCCCCCCCCCCCCCCCCCGTATAGGGAGTCTTTCAAACGGCACCAGACCAGAGCTCGAGCTGGTAAACAAAACAGCCAAGTCAGAAAATCGATTTACTTCGGAAACTAACCCGATTTCAGCCTCTTCCTTCATTGGATCTAATTTAAAAGCGATGCACAAACACCTGTATGAATGTAGGAGACATATAATATGATACAGGCCTGTCAGAAGCGCTATGCAGAAATTGTACTGCCTATTATAAGTTCACTAGTTATAGCCTTTAATAATGGACTTTTTAGATTGAAGACACTTGTTGCTGTGCTATAGAGCTGGTTGAGAATTCCCCGTTCCCCACATGAGCCTTCTTTCTGAGGCTCAAGCGTAATAAATTAAGGCCTACAGAGAGCAATAAAAACCAGTGCAAAACACTCACAGAGAATGAGAAAGTGATTTAATGTAGATTTCCGTACATTTCAAAACAATTTAATTCAGCTCGGACAAAGAGGCAAGACAAAAAACTTTAAGCTTTCAAGTTAATCCCCTCAGTGTAGGTAAAGGCTAATTACCACTTTGAAATTATCTCCGTGTTAATGTCAATGTGTAACGCCTCTATTCCCCCTATGCTAGAGGACATTAGCAACTTAGTATTCACTCACGGTTTCTGCATGAATAACTGCTGTATTATTAATTCCAGCGTGAGTGCATGTTGTTCTCTGTGGACACAAATGAAGCTAGGTGTGAGAGGACAGATTGTGATCAAAGAAACGCACAGACATGAGGAACTCCTGTGATCTATCATGTGTGTGAATGGGTCTTTCCGCTCGGCTTTAATTAGGAATTTCACTGGGGCTTGTTTGATATCTACTACTGTATTCTCAACCGTGTGCTTCTTTCTTGACATACCTTGAGGCGGTAGTTTGAATTTTGTTCCGTGGCTACATTTCTTCCCTTTAATGATGTTTCATTTAAGCAAAATGTGTGACGGGGCGTGGGAGCAGCACAATTGACATTTTCAGAGGGCCAACGAAGTGGCAAAGATTTAAGAAGTTCTTTTGTCTTGGCCGGACAGGGCTTAACCATGTGGCTGACTGGCTCAGGGCCAGGTCACCGCTCTCTTTGGAAGAAGGACAAATATGGCGAGACAGGAACTGGACACAAGCTGGTTATGAATAACTAATTGGTGCTTTTAGACAAGCTAATGTATGCACTGTAAATAGAGTGTTGCATCTGGACATGTTCTTGTATTGATTTGATGATATATGCATTTGTGCTTGAAAGCTTACATGCCCTCGAAGAAATGTGACCCTGTTTTGGCATTTTATGAATGGTTAAAAACTTTTTTGCAATTCTTTGCAAGTGGTTTTGTTTTTCTATTTTCCAAATTATAAACTCTTAAAATGACCCTGATGATAAGTTTACATCCCCCAGTTCTCCATATGGTTATGCCCCCTTTAACATCAATGACAGCTTAGAGTCCTTTGTAGTAGTTGTGGATGAGGTTCTTATCCTCTCTGATGGTAAAGCTGCCCAATCGACTTGCCAAAAGATTTATTTTATTCTTTTCCACTCTGCGCAGCACATATATACAAATATAAACAGGAATAGATACATGTACTGTACATGGTTTGAAAAGAGATTGGATGAAGAAAATCACTCAATTATGTATTATTTGAAAAATTATAACATAAAAAGTTGTTTGACCAGATCTGGCATCACACAACTACAAAGATTGAGTGAAAAAAGCATCATTCATAACCAACATTTCACCAATATTTCTACCTGTGTACAATTTCTGTGTATGTTTTTTGTATATTCAAAGAGCGATGACATTGTGTTTGGATTCTTGTAGGTCACGCTTTGTTATTTTTGTGTGTGTGAGATTTGCTTGTTAGGCTGCTATCGTCTCAATGGCAACTCGGCCCCATACTGCTCTCCCAGTGACAGCACACCCTGCCAGCACTGTACATTTATCAGCAGAGCTCATTGTTGTTTTAAGTAGATGTGCTTTCGACCAACTTTCCAATCTGATCTAATGGAATGCATTGACATTCTCCATTGTTGGCTCATACCTGCACCTTTCTCTTCCCGGGAATATTTCCTGAAAGTGGTCTTGCACTTCAAGAGGACATCTGCCAGAGCACTTCGCCTATAAGCGCACAGCCAAGTTATGTGAGATCTTGGAAGATAATCAAAACGGATAAGGGCAGAGCTAATATAAACTTTGACATCACACTTATGAGAAACACCTGCAGACGCAGCGACTATTACTGCTTCAGTGTTCGTCTCTTCTCAAAAAGTTGCAGTGATTACTTCATTGTTGCGTCCACAAATATGCTCTTTACACAAGAGCCAAAATAAATTTCCCTTCACAAAAGAGATGACATTTTTATGACTTGCCATTATCTGGATTCTCACTCCTGCCTGCCAATCTAATCCAATTTGACTTTATCTGAATGTATGAGATAAGAGAGAATACGGTCACTGGATTGTTGTTGAGTGTGATAAGCCTGCTGATAAGTTACGTCACACAGACAAGCTTTGAAAGTGCTAGCTGGCTGCTGATAGGGTGACAGGCGACTCTTCAAACGTTCACCTAAATTGGAGCCAAATGTCAGTGGTTTTCATATATTGTTTGGCATGCGCGCCACTGGGCTTGGCACCATCGCCCTCAGATAAGTGCCCAGAGAGGGTCCCAGAGGAGGCGCAGGCTGTCAGATGTTGCTTGACCCACCCAAAGATATGAGCAAATGTTTGGTGTGCTCTCTGAATGGCATCTACTATACGGCCCCTGTGGGCAAGTTACATTCAGACTGACATTTTACAGCTGAGGCAGTAAATGGCAGAGCAAAAGGGACAGGAGACAGGCCAAAAGAGACCTGGGTTGAACCGTGTTTGTTTGGACAAAGATATATTCCCAGAGTGAGGCATGTCTAGGAAAGAAATCACCTGTTTCAGTTGAGCTTGTTTTATTGTAGGGTATAAAAAGCTCAGTTTTTTTTTTATATCACAGAGCATTACTTTTCCTCATTATGATCCATCTAGAGTTTTGAGTTGCTTATAAAATGTATAAAAAACAATGTCTCAAAGAATATCTCAGGAACCAGTCCCTGATCAGACATATATTCTCAATGTCAATGTCAAAATCAACTTTTGTCTTCACATAAAAAGAAAAAGCTCTATTATATTGTTTAGATGCACTGCTTGGTTTTCCTGATACTTGGGCTCTTCTAAATGTTGTTGTCTTGCCTGGAATGTTCCACGCGATAGTATTAAATTTCTGCCCATCTACTCTTGTGTCTTCAGTAGGCTTCAAAAGATTATAACTTGTCAGATCTAACATTTTGAAAAAACACTTTGGCTTTTGGTTTTATTTAAACCTTCAGGCCGCAGAGTAAAGAAATTGAGAACTATAGTCATGAAATCTATAGACAGCAATATGTTTAAAACTTCAAAGGTTAGGATATTTACAACATCATGTATGGCTCAATGTTTGCAGCTGTATGTAAAGGGTTAGAGTGAAATGACCCATTCAGTCAGTGTTTGAGGCTGAAGGCAAGAACAAAGTTAATGTTAACAACTCAACGTTCTCATATCTTACATGACTTTGCCTAAAGTCATTATTTCTCTTTGACAGATTACTTAATGAGAGCATCACATTATTAAGCCAGGTCACTGTATATGAAGATTATTTCATTTTGTCCTTAATCAGTGTTGCATCACTAGTTAAAGAACAGAAGGAATGAGGAGCACACAACACCAGCTAAAGGAATAATAACACTAAAATAGAATAAAATAAAATCTCTATCTCTAGCTTAAACAGAAGCAGTATAAAATCTCTATCATTAGTATTTTTAGGAAAGACGTCTAAAATCTCCAACTTTAGCGTGATGAAGAAGCAAGACTGAAGTACCCTGGATTTTGCTACTCTGGCGCCTAAGGGGTTAACTTTATTACAAAAACTTTGGTATTGGATAGTTTTATGACTCAGTGAAAGGGAGGGTGACTAAGCTGTGTGTGTAATATGAAAAATATGCTACATTTCCATCCCACTTGTAAAATCCGCTTCGGTCAGCTTTGTAGAGACCTCTGACCAAACAGCCCGTCCAGCCATCGCGGCACATGCCCCTCACTGTGGAATGACCTGGAACAGCTGAGCAGGAGGTGGGCGGAGGTGTTTTGAGTCGCGTCGTAACCCGAAATATCCGTCCCTCCCAAAAAACCTGAGCAAATGCAGCATTCCAAACGGGAAACACATGCAGCTCTCCACAGTATGCGCACCGACTAACAATCACAACCACCT